AAGTTGGGGTGTAGATACCGAATTCATGTACAGGAAATGAAACAAATATGCAAATGTTTGGTGGCAACTTTAATATATATATATATATATATATATATATATATATATATATATATATATATATATATATATATATATATATATATATATATATATATATCCATACAGAAAGACATGTTAGTCATCATACATGACAATTGAAAAGTTGGTAGACAAAAAAAAGACCACTGAAAGCCTACATAGTTCTCATTACTGCTGCATTAATAATATTTAGCCTGCTTTTACAAATCAAATGCAGGCAAGAACTGTCTGGTGTATGTACAAATGTCATCATATATATCTTGTTTTATTCATGGTTGTATACTTTCTGCAGGTGATTTGTACGTTTCTAAATGGGTGTCTTTGTTGCTATTTCTACATATCTGCCTGTTTCTAGTGAGATGGTTATATGATTGTCCGAGTTAGCGCGGACGTGAGCGATCTTGTCTTATGGGTTTTATCCTTTCTCTGCTCGCCTTATAAGATTAATAATCATTGTATTACATTGGTCAATGTAACAGGTGTTTCAAGTATTTTAGCATAATTATGTCACCGCTCGCCAATTACTTGTATAGATCAATATTTTTTCTTTAAACTTACTTGATCCGTACATTATTAACACATTAATAGTATTTGCAGCACAAAGTGTTTCCACTCTGGTAAGTGAAATAATAAGAATTGCACTTATAAGATTTTCAATGAACCGCAGGCGACCTTGTTGATTAAAATTTAGCTTTGTTGTTTATAGCATTTTTGTGACCTTGTAAGATTTTAAATTAAACGCTTTGGGATCTTCCTCATGGTCATGATTGTCTTTTGTAATCCACGTATAGTTTCTCCGTTGTCTTCTTAGATTTCCGCCTTCGCGTCAGGCAAGCATTTGATAATCTTTGCGGTTGAGAGCGTGTTTCTTTAAATATCTTTGACATCTTTGGAACTCGTAATAATTGGACCAGGTTCCTGTTTTTCACGTCATCGCCACGGTGGTTTTAGTGACTTTCTTTGCCACCTACTTGGCTTAGCGCGTCATCTTCATCATCAGTTGAAACTTTTGTTTCTGGACCCCTGTGATGTCGCGACCGCAACCTATTTTTGACGCGTTTGCGGCCTGAAATACCCTTACAGATGAGTTCCGCTTGTTCGCAGTCAGCTTTATGGCATTGCTTCCAGTACTCTGGTTAGGTAGCTCTGACAGGTTTTGACATGATAATTACCATGCTCGTTGTAGGTTTTGACATGATAATTACCATGCTCGTTTTAGGTTTTGCCATGATAATTACCATGCTCGTTTTAGGTTTTGACATGATAATTACCATGCTCGTTTTAATCGTTTTGTTCAACCGGCTTTTCATTTGTTGCCGATATAACTGGAGTTTTCGGTCAAATCATTAGGGAAGAGACTATACAGGTCCTTGGTGAACTCCTGAAACATATTCCTTGATTTATCCCTTGAATGGTCTGCAGCAAAAAAAAAAAAATCAACGAATATTTGTTAAGACATGGACTTCAGCGTCACGAAATATCATCAAACGTTGTGAGGTCTAGGATCACTTTTGGCAAGTGTGCGTATCGCTGAGTCACTTAGATCACGATTGTGTTCTTATGTCAATCCTGGAAAATTTTCTAACGGTCTTGTGTTAGCATTCAAGCATTACAATAAGTGTTCTTTGTTTGAATAATATGATCATCGTCACAAGATAGTAGTAATGTACATCAACCACACATAACCATGGCTAGATTATGATGTGAAATGCTACGGATGTAGACCTAGTTGGTGTGTGGAAATAAGGGAATTAACTATTTCTTAAACACTACAAGCGCACCTCAGTGTACATGTACAAATCTCTTACTTTAATATGTAGATCCGTCACACATAAATGTATACATGTACAAATTCAGTTGACCTTGATGTATTTTTGCGGCCGCCATCAGCCATCGCATAATTGCCAGTAAATGCCAGAAGGACGTTTGGAAGAGTAATAGACAGAAACAAACATGTACTACATGAACGTTCAGAGTAGTGATAGAAATTTTTTTAGTAAAATAAATATATTGGTCTTTTGGTGGCTACCAGTGTATAAAAAATATTAGACATCTGCCTTAATCAGAATATTTCATGTTAAGTTAACAAAGCATTTTTGACGAAGGTAGGAACGAGAATTGCTTCAAACTGATGGTAGAAATTAACCAACTTCAGTAGCACCATAAACAACAACAACAACAATAATAATGAAAATAATAATAATAATAATAATAATAATAATAATAATAATAATAATAATAATAATAATTATTATTATTATTATTATTATTATTATTATTATTATTATTATTATTATTATTATTAAGGCAAAATTTTAGTTTTCTTCATTTGTCAGATTATTTTTGCCTAAGTAGACTTGTAGCGATAAAAAGATAAAAGTTGCATTATTTGACAGAGGGAAAAACATTGTAACACTCTGGAGATATTAAAGCAGCTAGTTCACTCCAAGACCCACCGCAATGCCTTTTCCAGCCCTAGCAACCACCAGACATGGAATCCAAGCATGTGGTGCTGTCAAGCGTCGAGTGGTGCCTCCTGTTTCCCCACCCGACAAGTAAATAAGCTATGTGCGGTGAGCACTTTTAAATTACCCGAGTGGCCGCACAAGTCTTAAATTAAAGATTATCATCATCATCATCATCATCATCATCATCATCATCATCATCATCATCATCATCATCATCATCATCATCATCATCATCATCATCATCATCATCAACAACAACAACAACAACAACAACAACAAAAAGACCGAGCGCATTTAAATGTCGAACACACTACATGAGTTTGGTTTGAGGTAGTTGTTTCTCAGGTTTCCAATGTACTCCACACAATAGTTGCCAATGGAAGTTTTTTTTAAAAAAACCCGCTATGATAACAGCGAGTTCATTTATCTTTTTTTTTCCCTTCTCTTTTTTGACAAAAAGTCTATGACCCATACATTTACTATTCTCTACCTCCACACATATATGTTGTTTTCTAGCTTGACCTGGGTATGATTTATAAATAGGTATTTCGATTCGAGGACCGTGAAAAAAGGACCCAACACCTAATGATAAACTTATTCTTATCTCACGATGCGAATGATGTGAGAAGATTCCAGGAATTCTACATATTAAGGACTTTTGCAGGGGCCACGTTACGAAATAGATCCGTTCCATGAATACGAATCAGTATGATTAAAGCCTATATATAATAGTTGGCTATATAATCGGTTCGAATGATATATTTGCAACACCGATTCCCCATAATTGAACAAATAATCACTCAAAATTCTAACATAGTTATAAACTATAACACAAACAGCACTTACCCTAGTTTTCTAAACTCTAATACAAGCAGCACATATACTAGTTTTCTAAATTATAATACAAACAGTACATATTTTAGTTTTCTTACAATATCAATCCATCTATTAATATCGTTCTATCTTGCATTGAATGTGATGATTTTGATACCAAAGACGACATTGATAAAATAATAATAATGATAATAATAATAATAATAATAATAATAATAATAATAATAATGATAATAATAATAATAATAATAATAATAATAATAATAATAATAATGTGTGTGAATTTTATTTTTAACATAAAAATTATTTTAATCTTAATGCTAAGCTGTCCGCAGTGGCAGTTTATAGTGATGTCTAGCAATGAGGCATCATGCTGCATACACGTAGAATGCTGTCCCACCCAGTCACATTATCCTGACACTAGGCAGACCAATAATAATTATAATAATAATAATAATAATAATAATAATAATAATAATAATAATAATAATAATAATAATAATAATAATAATAATAATAATAATAATAATAACAACAACAACAATAATAACGAGGACTTTGTATAGCGCCTAATCTTTAGAAGCTCTATGCCCTTTACAACGTTTGACAACGCTTAAAAAGAATTTTAAAAAAAAACATAATGAAATGATTACAAAAAAAAAACAAACACCACAAAAATTAGAAACAGAAAAACATACTGTAAATTTCTTAAGGTAAGGATACGTTAAAAGGATACATTAATAGGTCTTTATGACTGTTCTTGCAGTTTAAATAAATGAGCTTTAAGGGCACTCCTGAATGAGATTACTGTGTCCTTGGGTCTAAGTGCAGTGGGCAATTGGTTCCTCTTTGCTGGGCCCTGGTATGCAAAAGAATGTTGTCCAAATAATTTCAGTTTCAGGGGGAATATTGAGAATACGAGGGTCAGAAGAGGAGCGTAAGCATCTTGCTGGTGTATAAACATGGGTGAGGTCAGATAGGTGTGTTAGACTAGAGCCCGCCAGTGAAACGTAGCATGGAGAACAAATTTTGCGTTTAATTCTGGATCGTATGGATAGCCAGGGTAGGGTACAAAGCAGCGGAGAGGCGTGCTCTGATCGTGGTGTTCTAAAGATGAACCAAGCAGCAGTGTTTTGAACTTTGTGAAGTTTCTGAAGTAGATATTGAGATAAGCCAGACAGAATTGAATTACAATTTTGAAAGTACTAAGGAACACACAAGTGTTTTAGTGGCATCAACTGAAAGATACTTGCGAATGGAGTTTATGCGTCTCAGCTCAAGTTATGCAGCCCGGCAGATGTTCATGACGTGTTGGTGCAATGAGAGAGTACTGTCAAGAGTTACACCGAGGTTTCTTACTGACTGCTTGAACTTAATATTGGTGTTGCTGATATTAATTGTATGAGGTAAAGGATGTGAATGAGAAAGTCTTTGTGCTGTAATCAGGATGGCTTCAGTTTTATCATCATTCTTAAGCAGCTTGTTACATGTCATCCATGACTTCACATCAGAAATGCACCTCTATATGCCTTGGACGGTAGCTTTAACTTCAGCAGGAAGGCTAGATTTCAAACACTAACCTTTTAATATTAGTGCCATTTTTATGAGTCTTTGGTACGACTCGGCTGGGGTTCTAACACGTGCCCTCTCGCATCTGAGGCAAACGCTCTTACCACTAATCCACCGGAGCATGTAAATAATAATAATAATAATAATAATAATAATAATAATAATAATAATAATAATAATAATAATAATAATAATAATAATAATAATAATAATAATGCAAAACTAAAAGGAAATTGGAAAAAGAAGAGTGGTGGAGCTAAACCTACACTTGCAGCAGAAACCACCGCGATTACTGCTGCAACTACTTTTAGGACACACGTTAGTAATTGTATTGAAAAATGGGAACCAGCCTAGAAACAGAGTATATACAGGATTGGCTGACCATGATTGGTTAATAATGTAAGTTATGTTTTAGGAAAAGGAATCTTTTGAGACCTTATCCCAGTTTAAAATGAATAAAAATAGAGACATTGTTTTATTGATGGAATTTCAGTCCTTTAATAGTCTTGAGTTTGGAACACTCATTACTAAAATTAGCACTTGAGTCTTTGGTGCGGAATTGTAAGCACGTGTTTCAAACATATGCAGGTCCAGAAATTCAGCGGCTCATATCCTTTCCTGTGCACAGAAGCAGACTTCAAGGTTTCATCTATACTGATAAATATAGGTATGGTCATGAGCACTAAAACACTTTAAGTTATTGAATTTTTAATATCATGGTGCTTGCATATGTTTACTATGAGAACTGATTTAGTATCGTGATTCCTTCACTACTATTTGATAGCTGCAACAGAGTGTCAGACTCGTAATCCAAGAATAGCTGTTTCGATACCAGCCCAGCTTTCTCAGCGTGTAAAAAAGGCTATAAATTGTCAGTCATAACCGTATGCCGATGCCCAATGGACTGCTGACCAATGCTATGCCAGCAAGGTGTGAGATATTACGTTATCTGGCACGTAATCGGAATAATCAGGTTAATGTTTCTGATACCTAGGTGACAATCACTGTATATACTAATACAAAATGAATATGGCCATGACTTTAAAATTACTACTTTATTTATCATGGCTAAAATTACTACAACATTTGTCATGAATGTATTCAAATATGCAGAAACAGTGCAGTCTTTTATTTATACACCTGTATATGACGTACCAATATGTAGACACGGTTACTAGTGCCATGTCAAAACAATCTTACTATAACCATGGCAACATTGACGAGTTGGAAACAAAATTTTCGTCAGCTGATATCCTACTTTGTCAGGTCATTCAAAAAAGAAACAACAATCCAAATTCGTGTACCGATTAAGTCAATAAGTACTACTAGAGTGGATCTATTATAGATATGGTGACGACATTTCCAAAAATAGTCTTATCACTATAACCCACTTTTCATTTCGCCCTGAGATATTTTCAATCTGACGATTAGTGGAGTTCTTGCGACATATGCATAACGTGGTTTGATATTCAGCACTAAAGAGATAAATAAATATTACAAAGTATTACAAAATATTGTGAACGTCATTCTTTACTAGGTGTATATTATTGTAATATTTACAAGATGACTCAAACAAGATAGAACTTTTTCGTTTTATCACTATCGAGACACTTCTAACGTAACTGGTTTAAACACTGTCATATACGAACCAGCTAGTGAGAGCTACCAACGTTTGACTAATATTTAAATGTGTTTGGTGAGGAACTAAAAACTGTTTACTAAAGTTTGCACTTTTACCAACTACAATGATCGACAATGGCAATATAGTATCGTCAAATATGGCATAGAAAAAACGGCATGGCTCTAGTCAGAATTGTATCTATTGCATGATGCTGACAATACTATAAGTGTACAAACAAGTATGCTACGTGATAAAGAAATGTATATAATTCCTTTAAAACAAAGTACCATGCGTAGTCTCAATCTCGTACTCTATGCTTCAGCAGCACGTGTAATCTTAATCTCGTACTCTTTACTCCAGTAGCATTCGTAGTCTTGATATCATACTCTATGCTCCAGTAGCATTCGTAGTCTTAATATCGAACTCTATGCTCCAGTAGCATTCTTAGTCTTGATCTTGTATTCTATGCTCCAGCAGCGCGAGTAGTCTTAATCTTGTGCTATATGATCCAGCAACGCTTGTAGTCTTTAATTTTATGCTCCAGCCGCACGTTTAGTCTTGATCTTGTATTATATGACCCAGCAGCGCGTGTAGTCTTGATCTTGTATTCTATGCTCCAGCAACGCGTGTATTCTAGATCTTGTATTCTATGCTCCAGCAGCACGCGAAGTTCTAATCTTGTACTCTATGCTCCATTAGCATGCGTAGTCTCAATCAGGTACTCTAAGCCTCAGCAGCATGCCTTCTTTTAATCTCGTTTCCTATGCACCTGATGTGCGAATAAAATATTGAAGGTGATGTTATTGTCTTCAACTTATTATTAAATTCAGATAAGCTTCGAGTTTTAACATCAAACTTTATTTCTTAATACATCATACATCCCATGAATAATGTACACGTGGAGGAGAGGTAGTTCATTTGTTATCATCCTGGACTCCTACGCAGGGCTACCGACTTCAGTTTCCAGACCAGGCCGGGTAGTCAGCTGTGTTGTGTCCGTATACAAGACACTTTACTATCATTACCAACCAAAACTTATCATAGCCTTATTTAAGGCTTAACATAGAAAAACTAAAAATACTATGGTGCTTCTTTGATAAACACCAACCATTTTTCTGGCTGGAGTTAGTGGGTTTTGGGATGGTGCTGGTTGGTTTGGTTGGTGGGTGGGTGGGAATAGAGGAAAAATACTATGCTTGCGATCCCAAATATATCATTGCATTTGAAGGATACATTTGGTGTCAGAATTATGTGAGATATGCGGAATTAAATCGAACGTCATTTAGTATTAGTTAGCATCAGAGACACGTGTTGTTGATTTTTTTTGTTGCCTAGAATGTTACAGCAAGATGACAAAATGCAAACACTCATTTCAATAGTAGCAGAAATTTTAGCTACGCTTTTGATTCTGTTTATTTTTTTGTATGATGATATGGTACAAAGATAACAATGCATATTCTATAGCTTGGATCTAGAATCAGTAAGAATTGTTATTTAATCTCCATGAAGACCAACTAGTGTCTCTATGGAAAGGTCAAGGTAGTTTGCAAATCTTGATTAAGATTTCAGGGTTGCATCAATATTTGTAAGCATGTCATAAGTGGGTGGGTGGGAATATTTGCAAGCATGTCATAAGTGGGTGGGTGGGAATATTTGTAAGCATGGTCATAAGTGGGTGGGTGGGAATAATTGTAAGCATGGTCATAAGTGGGTGGGTGGGAATATCTGTAATCATGGTCATAAGTGGGTGGGTGGGAATATTTGTAAGCATGGTCATGAGTACTGTACGGATTGCTGCGAAATTCAGACTGTAGAATAAGTAAGCGATGTTGTTTCATCTCTATATACATCCATATTCCCCGGCTTTAAAACCTTTTATCTAATTCCTATGAAAATCTTTTAGTGGTGTCATTGATTCCAGTCCCTCTGAGGTTTGTTATAATGTTTAACTATAGAAAATGATGTCTTTTATTAATCTCTACACTCACAACATCATTGCACACACACCCTCCATATATTCACAACCTCCATCCACTCACAACCTCCATGGACTCATAGCCTCCATCCCATCACACCAGAGCAAGATTAGTGTCACTTGAAAATCTTATTTAAATTTTCGGATAAGGTTTCTGTATATGGTCATAAATTTCAAACATTTTGTGTTTAAAGCAAGAAAATATAGAGGAATTAGAAATGATGAGCCATTTTTAAATAAGATATCTACTGAACAGGCTCCAGAAACATGACTCCTGTCAACCATATTATAGAAATTTTACTCCATATGTTGAAATCTTACTCAAAATCGACCAAGGAAGCCTTATCATCGGTCAAATTATTTTTGAGTAATAGTTTCACGATGGAGTGTTCTGATATCGCTGGTGTCAAATGTTCAGTGAACAAAGTTCTGAAGTCCAGTTTGAGCATGATATGTTCTATTCTCCTCAGTGAAAAGACCTCTCAGTGGTTATGATTGAATGATATGAGGTTGGGGTTGAGATGAGGTATGTACAAAAGTATCCATGACATTTGAAAGTTGTTAACCAGCCATTTTATATTTCTCCACTATTGATGTAGCTCGAGAAAAGAATGGACTGCATCGACAAGTACTATATTTAATCTGTTGTTTTTTGTTGGTGGTTTTTTTTTTGCAACACGCAAAATAATAACTTTTACATGATTTTTTACAAAAAATTTTCGTTTGTTTTCATACAGTGGACATAATCATTTATTGTTCCTAAGGGATTTGTACGATGTGCACAATATTCATAATGACAAAGTTGATCTAGGAAAAATACTACGCATGATTTACACATTTGAAAATGGTTTTTAGTGTATTATGTTACTACAGTTTGGTAGTATTTAAAGAAAGCCAGTATTGTTTTGCACGGATTACCTGCCAGGTTTTCTACTTCTTAACCATTCCAACAATTCTGCCCTACACACCCATGCTGCTGGTGCGTCATATTAGTCACGTGCTGAGTAAAAGGGGTCATGGTATGCAGAATATACAATGATTTTTACTGAATACATTTAGACGTGACTTGGCTAAATGACTTTTACTGAATACAGTTAGGCGTGACTGGGCTAAATGACTTTTACTGAATACAGTTAGGCGTGACTTGGCTAGATGACTTTTAATGAATACATTTAGACGTGACTTGGCTAAATGACTTTTAATGAATACATTTAGACGTGACTTGGCTAAATTACTTTTGCTGAATACAGTTAGACGTGAATTGGCTAAATGACTTTTAATGAATACAGTTAAGCATGACTTGACTAAATGCGCGTTTATTAGGACATAATGATCAGAGAGCAATGTCGTCATAGACAGGTTTCTATTAAATACAATGTAATACTCGCTAACATACATAAAAAGCTTACTTTCATTCGTATGAAATAACAAACGATGAGTGTTCATTATTTGAATGCAATTGGATAGCAATGTGTTGAACATATGTAACTGAAAAACCAGACCTGAATTACACCCCAATTCAGGC